GAGAGAGAGAGAGAGAGAGAGAGAGAGCAAACAAATGGTACATGGCAAGCAGGGAGTGAGGCTTGGAAGTGGGGAGTGGAATGAGTTTAATGGACAACGAGAACAGCTATGAGAGATTGTGAAATTGCCAATGGTAAACCGAAACCAACCAACAAACCATGGTTCAAACATGGTATACCAAGGAATGAAACCACAGACCTGATCTCTACTTGTGTAGCTTTCTCCCAGTAGCTGAAGAGCCGCACCTTTGGCGTTATTCATTCGGTTCAGAGCCATACTGCCACTTGCATCTACGACAAAGATGACCTGAAAAGACAATTGCACATGAAAGTCATTGAAAAGTGAGCGATGGGAGAAAGAATCCAGTATGCATAGTACGCAATTCAAGATCAGTGAAGGGAAAAAGCACAATACAATAATATATCCATACATCTATTGTAAATCATATATCAGCCTCCTGATGAGCCGGTGAAACTCCAACGGAACAGTCTGTCACAGCCCCTCGTTTGTTGTTCTCTCCTCTCTGGCATATATATATATATACATATATATATGTATATATATACATATATATATGTATATATACATATCTATATATACATATATCATAGATGTAGTGATAGAGAACTGCCCGGTGAACCGTAGCCAGAAAGGGAGAAACGGACAACAAACGGGGGGCTATATATATATGGATTCTATAGATATTATACCTATATATCTTTAGATTCTATACATATCCATATATATGTCACTATACATCACCAAACAGAACTGCCGGGTAAACCGTAGGAAGAGAGGGAGAAGAGGACAACAAATAAGGGGTTTGCAATTCTTCGTAGTACACCGAATAAATTAGGAGGTGTTGCTGCAATAGGCCTTGTCTTTGGTTTGCTTGACCTTTTATTAACACTTCATATGTGCAAAGTTTTTTATAGACCTATTCATCAAAAACATTTTTGGTGACTTGTGGCAGATTGTTGACTTTTACTGTTTCTTCGGGGTTTCACCCACTCGTCACACTATATACGTATATTATATATGTATAAACTTGGCCTTCAGGCTAAGGCCCCTTTCCACTCTGGGAGGAAACACAATACAACTGAGTGACTGGCCAATGCGCCTATTAATCGTCAATTGTAAATCAGATTCATACAAAAAACAAGGATAGACTTGATACTAGTTGATACTACTTGATAATAATAAAGACTTCACTGTTCCCTTGTGGGGAGCTTCGCCCTGTTTATCTACCACATATAGTAAAATAGTTTCTTTCAGAATTAAAAAGAAAGAGGGCAGACATGTCTTCACCCTCTTGATATGCTTGTTGCCACATACGGAGCTGACCTGAGACTCTGGGATTCCGTTTTGGTGCAGCAGGCTTCTCTAGAAATCTGAACTGAAAAAGAAAAAAAGAAAAAAGATTTGCTTGTGGCCATGCCACATGTTTTGTCGGCTACGTGCCACGCGTTTTGTTCAGCTACATGCCTGGATTCCTTATGGGGGTGACAGTGACGGGGAAATTTCCACTCAAAATACTTTTGTCAAGTTTTGTGTAATAAAGTTAACAAATTGACATAGTTGAAAAAATGGTTGGAGAGTCGCTGGAGACAGGTATACAAGTTGGTGTACGCAAGAAAGGAACGAACTTGAACTTCAACGATTCGATGGACACAAAGTAATAAAATACATCTAGATAATTAAGAAACAGCATTAAACAACAAAGGATTACAGGAGGTAGTATGTGTGTATGTACCAGAGCACCAGCCTTCCTGGCCATGCGCTTGACTCTCAAGTCCACGTTCTCCACGTAGACCTTCTTCGTCACACCTCTTTCTTCTGCCACTTGTCGTCTGAGCCGCTGGTAGGGTGCTGCTGATCTCAGGGTTGCGTCTACTGCTAGTCTTGTTATGGGACCCTGGAAAAGGGCAGAGAGGGTCGGACAGAGGGGAGGGAGAGGAGAGGGAGAGGAGGAGAGGAGAGGAAAGAGGAGAGGAACGAGGAGAGGAACGAGGAGAGGAACGAGGAGAGAGAAGACCACACACACACACACACACACATGTGGCAATTCTCGTAAGCCATGACCGTGGTGACATTCCACTTCCTATTCTTTTTTTCTTTAAACCACCACTACCTCCGAGCCTGTTTTTGCCGACCCTGATTTTCACTGCGCACCGAGTTTTGCCGAGCCTGGGTTCCCTTTTGTTTCTTTCTGGTACTCTCCTGAAAAAAAAAAGAAAAAGCACGGCCACACTTTCGAAAAACGACCCCCTCACAGCCACAAAAAAATAAAAGAAAAAAAAACAAACACACCTCTGGACGTGATACCAGGTAGTAGATACCTAGCCGAAAGTCATTGTGTGAGTATGCCCTCAATGAGGGCCTTATGGCAAGTGTGTCAGGTCCACGGAAGAATGAAAAGGACAAAAAAATGAAACTGAACTTAGGCCGGGAAAGCGGCTTCATACATTCTGCAAAGTAATAGTGTGGGCATATGCCCTCCTCCACAAAGTGTCAGCAGCCCGTGGACCGCGCCATGCCTCCGTGGCGGGGCACCAAAACTAAAAAAAGAAAGAAAACAAGAAACACAAACAATGAAAACCTGAAACTGGCCACTATAGCGGTTAGATACGAACGTGTGAGTTTTGGTGTGAGCACAACTTGGTGCACAGCCTTCCTCCACATGATCTTTTGTTTTTCTTTTTATTTTTCGAACGGGCCCAAGGCCCAACTGCTGAGCCTCGTCCAACCCCCGAAAAGTTCGGAAAAGATGGCAAAACAGCCAGTTTTCCCATTTTTCCCAAGAGTGACAGAGGTAGTGGTGGTAAAAAAAAAATAAAAAAAAATTGGACCATTTCTCAATTTATGCGTGTCATCCTTGCGCAGGGGCCATGCTAGTCTTCTCTGTATCGTTACAGTTCTAACAGATGTCCCAAAGGACATTCCACTTCCGATTCTTACGAGGTACTTTCCCAACATCTTTTCCTGCATAATTCTATTTCACAGTTTTCACTTCTTTTTGCACGCCTTGCCCATGCATGGACTGCTGAACAAACCTGGAACTGCATGGAATAAACTGGCGTAGTATCAGGGGTTTAGCCCCATCACAAACACCAGCGAACAAGTCCAACAAGATGACGCCAGGTCTCCCATGCCCTATTGAACAGCACTGCTACGGATATGGTGGGAAATCATGCCAAAGAAGGCAGAAGAGGACCAACCAAGATTTTTCACAATCCTAAATTCTCTATTTTTTTTAACAGAAAGAAAGCCCAAATTTAAGCTACCAAAAACAAGATTACAGTTGTATGTGGACGTGTCCCACAATCTTACACTGTGAAGCTTAGGAGAGCAGATCCATGCACACACTCCATCGTGTCTCTCTCTCTCTCTCTCTCACACACACACACACACACACTCACACTCACACTCACACTGCGAGCAACAGCTGCCCTAGGGGTTTCCTGTCAAGGAAATCCCAGCATATCATTCATCCGTACTTTCATTCTTGTTGAGGGTGCTCGGTTGTTCATGTCCTCAGGGGGACCCTGGACACCACGAGCCTTCAAGGTATAGAAAGCTCACAGATTGCTGCTATTCAAAGTATGCCACACGTTTTGCATCTGTGATATTCGTTCACTGAAAACAGAACCTACTACTATCATGTCATTTTAAGGGAAAATCACAAGCCCAAAACGGAAGTGACATCCATTTTTATGTACCCTAATGGATACCTGCTTGGGGAATACCTATCATAGACTTATACAGACACAGAGAGACAGAGACAGACAGACCTACAGGCAGACAGATATAGTGGCAGATGGATAGACAGATCGATGGACAGATGCATAGACCAAGAGATGGACAGACAGAAAGACAAACGGCCAGATAGATGATAGACAGACAAATGGGCAAACGGGCAGACATATGGATAAGTAGGACAGGACACAAGACAGGACAAACGGGCAGACATATGGATAAGTAGGACAGGACTCAAGGCAAGGCAAGACAATACAAGACAGGCAAACAAGAAAGCGATAAGATAGGAAAGCCCAGACAGGCTGATGTACGAACAGACGGAAAACTGCACAGAGAACAGACAGATACACAGACAGGCAACCAGGCAGACAGGCAGGCAGGCAGGTAGGCAGTTAGGCAGTCGAGCAGGTGGGTGGGTGAGCTGGCCGGTGGACGGACAGACAAACAGATGGACAGACAAACAGATGGACAGATGAACCGACGAGTGCACTGGCTTTGAGTTGGGAGAAGATTGCTACCTTCGGAAGCATCGGTTTGATGTATCTCCCTCTATCTTGGGAGAAAATGATATTCTTTGCACGCCCTGCCTTGCCCTTCCTTCTCTGAGCTTGCTGGGCGAAGTACAACAGCTTGGGATCAGTTATACCTCCCTCTGCATCAAACACAAACTCCTCGGGCACCTGTTCTGCCTGCTCTTCTTTGTCCTCGTCGTCTTCCTCTTCCTGCTCCTGCATAATGATAATAGCAAGTAAATGTCAAAATGTTGACAATGATGAAAAAGTAGCCAACAACCCACCCACCTGCCCCCTCCCCCCTCATCCCCCAACGAAACCACAAATTCCTAAAAATGTCATTAAAAAAACTAATGAAAATTAGTGGCAAGCAGGGTAACTGGCGTTCGGGACGGGCCGAGCACCCGAATGTACGGGACCCCGTGGGGATGCGTTCGGCCGTTCGGGCTGAACGTGGACCCCAAAAAAAAAAAAAAATCAAAAAAAAAAACAAAAAAAAAAACTGAAAAAAAAACATATGTTATGAAGAACAATAAAATAAACAACATTTGCCTGAGCATTACATCCAAATTCCTTCCCAAATTTGAAATAAAAATGAAATACGGAAACTAAAACTAATAAGAAAAATAAGAAAAAATGAAAAGAGAATTAAAATTAGTGAGTGAGCGAGCACGTTTTCGACATTGCCATCTTTGGCGATTTTTTTTTTTTTTTTTGGCACAGTCAAATGCGCTTAAAATTTACAGATGTGTACCTCACATAATACAAAACTTATTTAAAAAGTTTCAAAAAATAATAAATTTGTTTAGGCCCCGCAATAAAGTGAAAACAAAAAGTAAAAAGTGACAAAAAAACAAAATAGTGAGTGGGCGAGCACGTTTTAACACTGCCATCTTTGGCGATTTTTAATTTTTGTTTGGCTTAGCCAAATGACTTCAAAATCTATAAGCATGTACGGTGATGTACCTCATATCATAGAGAACTCACCAAAAAAAAATCAGAAAAAACAACTTACTTTTAGGCCCCGAAATAATTTTTGGCGGGGCCCGAACGCCTTCGGATTCGGACCCCGAACCCCGAACGGAGGTCAGCCTGGGGACCTCTGTATGTACGGGCTAGTGACCCTGGTGGCACAGATATGAATGTCCAACTCACATTTAAAGAAAATAAAAACCTCGCAATATAATCAATTCAATAAATCAATCAATCAATTTCCCAGAAAGAAAGAAAAAAGCTTCAAAGCCCAATCGGTTTCCCTATAACCCTGAAGCAAAAAAAACTGGCTATGTAAGCAGGCAGTCCAAGCATCTCTCCTATATTTTCTTTTACTGAAATTGCTTGTGAACTCTTTTATCCACCCTACAGTTACATTACCAGAGTGGCCCAGGACCACTGGCCTTTTCTTTTTCTTTTTTTCTAATAAAACTACCCTATATTCTTCTCTCAAATCTTTCATCATCTTTCAATTCACCTTCACTACCTACCTACCACTACTCCCTGCAAACATAGCTTTGTTGTCTCCCTCCAGCCATCAGAGGGGATGCATGTTGCCCTCCGCCCAAACCATGGTGGTCAAGGATGGGGTGGGGCCACCGGTGGGGGTCCGGGGAAAAGCAAAGACCGAGCATTTTGTCAGTAGCTGCCCCTCCCTTTTCATCGTCCCCCACCCCCAACCTAATAGCAGCCGTGTCTAATGGCGAATATCATTGCTGCATAGCAACCAACAATCTTTGGCCAGTCACTTGCACCTCCCCCTACCCCCCTCCAACCCTCCCTGATTTCAATCACGGCGTCTGTGACAAAAATCAGTCCATCGCTAACTTTCTTCTGCATTAAGTACGTGATTGCCGCTACTTGACGTTTGCCTTTGCTCCATCTTGGCCTTGGTTCGTTCCGTGCCGGCCTTTCTTTTAGTCCAAGGTGGTCTAACAACGTCTCGTGGACTCATACAGAGAGGATCGCCTGAAGAGGAGGAGGAGGGGGAGGAGGAAAAGCAGGAAGAGGAGTAGAAGAAGAAGTGGAGGAGGAGAAAGAATAACAAGAAGGTAGGGTTTTTTTTTTTTTTTTTTTGTGTGTGTGTGTGTGTGTCACAGAGAGAGAGAGAGAGAGAGAGAGAGAGAGAGAGAGAGAGATGGAGATGAGCACACAGCCAGACACAGAAAGGGAAGGAAATTATATAACCTTAAGGATTAGCAGTCGGCGGACTGGGGGTGGAGAGAGGGGAGAGGAGAGGGCGAGGGAGGGAGGAAGGGGATCATATGGTATTCTCTTTTCCCTAGGGTTGCTTGCAAGTTTCTCCTTGTTGCTTTCTTTTTCTTTCTTCCTTTTCTTTTTCCTGCCCTTGGACCTGTTGCCACTTAGTACTTACTTCCTCGTCCTCCTCCTGGTCCTCGTCTTGATCCTGATTTTGTGGAGGTGGAGGTGGTGGTGGTGGAGGATTCTGCTGTTGCTCGTCATTCGGCATGTCTACTACTGTTGATCGGGGAAGAATGACTAATTGTACCTGTTCACAGCAAAAGACAGAACCTCCCCCCCCAAACCCCCCACCAACCCACACACACACACACACACACACACACACACACACACACACGTACGCAAAAAAAAAAAGAAAAACATAACATGGCAGACAGGGAAGACGCAAACACACACGATACATTAGATTCATAACAGAGTGCATCTTGATGATGATCATGACGTTGGATCGAATCTTATGATGATGACGAAATCTCTTATCAGCTGGGAGATGGGTATGATGGAAAATCTTCCTTTTTTGTAAAAATACAGAAAATCTCGCAGCTGCTGTGCCTATCCCTATCCCTATGATGATGATGAAAATCTCGAAGCTATTGCACTACTATTTAGGGCTATAAAATTCCAACCTCTTGATGAGCATATCCATGTTGTACTGGCTGAGCGCAGGAAATGGATTGTCTATTTTAAAGCCCGTAGATGACCGAAGAAATTGCAGAAAAGAGATATAGTGGGAGGGGAGGGAGGATGGGAGAGCGCAAGGGAGGAGGAGGAGAAGGAGAGGCATGTACTCACGGCTTTCCGTAGATCATCCGGATTGACGCGATCTCGTCCCTCCAGAGCAGCTGAAGCTTTTGCAACCCGTAAGGCAAAGAGCTCTGCCCGATGACCCTGCAGATGATCCCACCGAAACCGAAAACAAAAAGGGAAAACGGAATTCAAAGCCAACCAACAGAGAAGAACAGAATGCAGAGAAGTAAAAAACGTGAGTTAATAATAAGTAATGAGCATGCTGGAAAAAAGCGGAAAACTTCTGAAAAAGAACAAGTAAAAAGCAAAAAAAAAAAAAAAAAAAAAAAAAAACGTGAGTTAATAATAAGTAATGAGCATGCTGGAAAAAAGCGGAAAACTTCCGAAAAAGCAAAAAAAAAAAAAAAGGCTGAGACTACCAAGAATAGTCGTTGCCTGTGGCTCAATGGTACACACACATGTGCCGGCTGGCAAAGAGATCATTAGTAAATTAAACTTTCTCTAATATCTTTATACATCAAAACTCTAATTTCCTGTTTGATAAATGAACTCGTTGGATGCATAAAATACAATAAATGGTTGAAATATTGTTAGGGCCTACATGTTTACCCACCGGGGATTAAAAAAAAAAAGGAGACGAGGGCTAGGCTACCAGCCGGGTCGCCCGGGTCACCTTGTTTTCCCAGGCGGCCCGGCCATGCGAGGACCAGGCAAGGTCCCAGCGAAAAAAAAAAAAAAAAAAAAAAAAGAAAGAAAGAAAGAAAGAAAGAAAGAAAGAAAGAAAGAAAAGAGAAGAAAAGAAAAGAAGTCGATGAAAATTTCTTTAAAATTAAAAAATGATAAAAAGAAATTAAGAGCAACAAAAATGTTAAAAAAAAACTTGCTCCGATCTATTGGCAGGACCAGCTCCTTCTAAAAAACTACCTGTCTTCCCCTGATCACAACGCACTCTCACTTGACTGTACCGAACCAGAAAGATCGCCTGTATACATTCATAATCAGGGTGCGTTGTCCTCGGAAAAGAAAAACAGTAGCACTTGTGCGTGAGGGTGAGGTGAAAGCAGAAGGTTCCATGGTGAAGGAAGGGGGTTCTAATTAAAGAAAAAAAAAAAAAAAAAAAAAAAAAAAAAAAAAAAAAAAAAGGACAAGACCCCGAGGCGAGTTCCCACTAGCAAAGAGGATTCAATTAAGTGCATCGATCTGGATGCGTTTTATACAAAGATGCAGAAAATCAGATTAAAAAAAATAGCGACTTTCTGCACCTCTCGACAAACACTTAAAGATTCAGGCGTTAAATCCAATCGTCATTGGTGGTGGGACCTTGGCGGCAAAACCTCGGGGGGAGGTCCAACTAGCAAAGAGGATTGAGGGTTTTGATTAAGTGCCTGAATCTAGATGTGATTTATGCAAAGATGCAGAAAAGCAGATTTAAAAAATGGCGACTTTCTGCACCTGTCGACAAACATGTCCAGGTTCAGGCGTTAAATCCAGTCCTCATTGCTAGTGGGAGCTCGGCCCGGGGGACTAGGAAAACATTCCGTCACAAGAGGAAGACAGCCAAGCCTTCGAAATAAATAAAATTAAAAATTATCAAAATGATAAAGAAGTATAAGAACAATTTAAAATTCCCAAAAGTGATACAAACAGTGAATGAAATGGAGGGGTGTGCAAAAAAAATAATAATAATAATAATAAAATATAAAAAAATGGAGGGGTGTGCCAACCTCACAGCCACCACGTATTGCCTCCGTGACCAGGTATTTGATCTGCTCTGTCCCGATCTGGACATCCTTCAGCCACTCCCTCGCAAGGATGACCTGCACGACGACCAGTCCGGATGAGTCATTGAAAATTATATATTAAAACAAAAAAACAAAAAACAAAAAAAAAAGTCATTTTAATTTTTATAAATACATTTTTAACGAAATCGCTCACACGTGTGCACACACACACGGCCCCGCAAGTGCAACGCACAGGCGATGCGTCTATGCGACTACGGGATTTCCTCTTACAGCCTGTGCTTTTCTTGTGAGGGGGGCGGGGGGCATGGAAAAGGAAGTGAAAGGGAGAGTAATTGGGAAGAAAGGGACATGTTGCACATGGTAGAGAAGATGGAGACCGAGAGGGAGAGGTACAGAGATAAATGATGTGTGTGTGGATGTGGAAGAGCAGAGTCAGCACGACGACTGACCATTCACGCAGCACATAACCATGACATGCAGAGACCACGCAGAGATTGTGCACGGAAAATGTAGCGAACGTGCAGAGTAGATGCAGAGAACATGCAGAGAACATGCAGAGAACATGCAGAACATGCACGGCATATATGGAGGAAGGTATGGCAGTGTGGAAGGGAGGGAGGGAAAGAAAGACACGTGGGAAAGACGCCCTACCGAAATCGTGGCGAAGGGGTGGGGGAGACGAAGGATTGGGGTGTACGATGCATATACTTACTTGTGTTTTAGCATTCTCGGTGGCTTCCTTAGCATCATCGACGATTTCTCTGGATCTATCCTGAAAGCTCGACGCGATATCCACAGCGCTTACGCGATCATCAAATGAGAGAGCCACGTCTGCACTGCATGGAAAAGGCGCCAATCGGCAGCTAGCACAACTTAATAAAACGCCTTTGAAGTTCCTCAAAAAGGGGAAAAAAAAAAWAAAAAAAATAAAAGAAGGAAAACCAAAAAAAAACAAGGAGAAAATCAAAGAAAAAGAAGCTCCGCCGCTAATCGTGCTTCAAATAAAATTGCAATCCCAATAACAGAAAGAGGAAAAAGACAGGAAAGGAAGATCATTCTGAAGCATCCACATGCAATGAATTGCAGGGTACGCGGGCTGTAAACTCACTTTTTTTTTTCTTTTTTCTTTTTTTCTTTTTTCTTTTTTTTTGTAGTGGTCTGCTTTTGGCCCGACAGTGGTTGATCCCTGGATCTGCTTGGTGCGTGCTTTTGTTTTGCTTTTGATTTTTCCTATGCTCGGATTCGATCCCAGGACCGGTCTGCTGTATAACGTTTTTGTTCATTCCCTTTTTTCTTTTTTCTTTTTTTTCCTTTTTTTTTTCTGCGCTTGCCCAAGTGCCTTCCTTCCTTCCTTCCTTTTTTTTTTTTTTTTTTTTTTTTTATTGTATTAGAAGGGCCGAGTGCCCAAGGCAAGTTACATCATGAACAAAGAAATTGGCTACATTTTTGTTCATTCCGATCTGGCCCAGGAATGGATCCCTGCTCGTCATGCTTGCTGACAGCTGTTTCCGGACATCGGTTACTTTTGTTTTCCTTCCCAGTTGCTGGTTGTCCCATATCCCGTTTTCTGTCTAGGTTCAGTTGCACATAGGCGTGGTGGCTGTATGGTAGCCCGTCCTAGATAGTATAATAGGCCAGTGGCTCACTCGTGAAAATACAAAAGTCGCGACTGCAGTGCCGTAGGGGCTTTTGGTTCATCATTTTTTTTATTTTTTTTTTGCGTACTTTTCACGTGGAAAGTAGAGTAGGGGGGGGACCACCATCCAAACCTGGAACTCTCCCCAGCCCACGGGGCAGGTTGGCACCACAGCAGTGGTTCGAGAGCAGCGCTATTTCCGAAGCAGCACACTGCTCCTTCTTCACTGTGGGTGCTGGCGCGGCCATCCTGCTTCATTTTGGGGGACAGCGCTGAGCATCAGGCTCACGCGCTGAAGGCGCGGTACTCCTCTGCTGTGTGTTGGGGTTGACGTCTGCCACGAAGCAGCTTGGGCTCTCGTGTCTGCTTCGACGGGCGGGTGCTTAATCTTCATTGGAGTGGGACTGTGGGAGTTCTTCTTCATCCATTAGGAAGCTGGCGCTCCCTGGTGACCGAACGTTTCCTCCAGCAGAAAGGATGTTGAGTGGGTGCTGATTTGGATCTGGGGTTAGTCAGGGTGCTCTGGCGGTCTGGAGGGTTGATGGGTTGGGCGCTGGGGCGCCATAGAGCGTTGGGTGTTGAAAACGTGGTTGGGAACCTGTGGCTATTTCGCTCTCCTGATTGCGTTGGGGAGACTCTGAGACGGTTTAATAAGAATTGAATTAAATTAAATTCTATTAATGCTTTTACAATTTCCATGTTCGAAATTTCTATGTCCAAAATTTCCATGTTTGAAATTTCCATGTCAGAACCTTAGACTTTCCATGTCAGACAGACAGGCAGACACATCATGTGCCTTGGAAAGCATTGAATTGAATTGAATTGAATAGAATTGAATTGAATTGAATTGAATCGGATCGAATCGAATCGAATCGAATCGAATTAAATTGAATTGGATAGTTTGGATTAAATTGAATTGAATTGAACTGAATTGAGTTGAATTGAATTGAATTGAGAAAAAAAAAAAAAAAAAAAAGAATTGAATTGAATTGAACTGAAATGAGTTGAGTTGAATTGAACTGAATTGAGTTGAATTGAATTGAACTGAAATAGCGTCACCGTAGCCAAAGGCTACCTATCCCCGCACCAAAGCTCATAGCTAGCTCTCCTCTCAGCACTCCTCAGGGGACTTCCCACACCAATTGGGCTGGTTGCGCACCAGCACCTCTCGGGGAGCTTCCAGAATCCAAAAACTGCCTGCCTAGCTTTCCTCCAGACTTCGAGGGCCGTTCTGGTTTTGCCCTCGTCACAGTCACACTGACCCACGCATTCAACTCTCCATGCTCACTCACTCACCACATCCGCATCGCCTCGCCTTGCATCCCCACTAGCGACCGTAACACCGTGACCTGCTTGAACTGACTGGCCGTAGGTTCCCTGTACAAAAACTTGAAGAAAGATGAAGAAGAAGAAGAAGAAGAAGAAGAAGGAGGAGGAGAGGGAGGAGGAGGAAAAGGAGGAGGAGGAGGAAGAGGAAGGGTCCAATGATAACAACATGCAATAGCAGCCTTCCAAACAAACCGCAGTGTCGACAGAAGGAGGAGGAGGAGGCCGAGGAGGAGGAAGAGGAGGAAGAGGAGGGGGTAAAGGAGGAGGAGGAGGCGGAGGAGGCGGAGGAAGCAGCTATGGAGGGAGGTGAAGAGGAGGTGATGAAGTACACTGGAGGACAGGGCATAAGAATCCGGAAACAGAAGGTGGCGGGAGGAGGAGGACGAGGAGGAGGGGGACAAGGATGAGGGGGAAGAGGAGGAGAGGAGGGTCGACCGATGGAAGAGGGAGATGCAGGAAGGACGAGAGCAGGAGGGTCGGCCAGAGGAAGAGAGATGCAGGAAGGAGGAGAGCAGGAGGAGGGTGAGGGCGCTGCAGGAAGGAGGAGAGCAGGAGTAGATGGAGCAGCAGGAGGAGGAGGAAGAAGGGGAGGGGGTGGAGGAGGTGCAGATTCTGCAGAAGGAGGACGACAGGAAGAGGAGAGGAGAGCATTGATGCAAGGATCTCACCTCAGGTTCATTGCTATTCTGTCGGCGAGATGTTCGCGCAGGCTTCCCTCCTCTGGATTGTACGTTGCTATTAATAGCGGCTTACAGGGGTGTTTGAAGCTCACTCCCTCCCTTTCAATTGTGTTCATGCCTTCGGCCAGAGCATTGAGCAACAGATTGCTTATCCCTTCATCCAACAAATTGAGCTCATCCACATACAGCACCCCTCTATGTGCCTCCGCGAGAATACCCGGCTGGAAAACCGATTTCCCTGCTTTCATCGACTCTTCCACGTCCACGGATCCAATCAGCCGATCCTCTGTAATCCCCAGAGGGACCTGACATCGCCACGTGTCATCATCCCATCGCCACGTGTCATCATCATCCCATGCTGTCCCTTCAATATCGCAAACACCACTTTTTTCAGCTACCAACCCTTCTCTCTTTCTTTTTAGTTATTTCTCCGGAACGCCGGATATTTTCAGCCACCTATTAAACCCTAAACCCTTCAAATTTTCAACCAAAAAGAAAAAGGCAGCAGCATCCTATACATCATAGCATGGAGGAAGTCCATTTGCAGCACCTACATTGAGTCCAAGATTAGCAGCGTATAGCATGAAGTTTCAAAAAAAAAAAAAAAAAAAAGCCTATACCGGCTTTGGCTACGGACGATGTTTCTTTTTTTTCTTTCTTTCTTTTCCCTCATTGCTATTCTGCAGTTGATTTTGCTGTCTACGATGTGTTCTGTGACGAGACTTTAAATGGGGGCGCTATCTTTAAAGGGGGGCTAAGCCAAATCTTTAAAGGGGGGCTAAACCAAATCAAATTTGACAAGTGGCCCTACCTATATGCAAATTCAGGTGACAAGCCTTTAAAGGGGGACACTATCTTTCCAATACGGACGGGGGTTCTTTTCAGATCACACACACGCCCTTTTGAAGGGGGCCGTTTGTATGCTGCTTTAACAATGAAGACCCACAAGGAAATTTCAAGGGGTTTGTTAATTAAAAGCCCCGTTAAGTTCGGCGTTAACCCCAATTAGCTGTACCTTCATGATTTTATTACTTGAAATCCCGTCAGTTGTTGCTGGAAAAGAGTACTATTCCATTTGGAAGCAGATGACCAAAATACTGCAATTCTGAATCATCTAGGGCCGGTCAGTTCACATGATGAAATCTCAGGGCCGTAGCCCTTTTTCAAAAAAGAAAAAAGGAAAAGGGATAATAAATTAATAATAACAATAATAATAATATATGATAATAATAAAAAGAGTACTACTAGTTGAGTCATTGATGCTGCTGTAAACTACCAGCACAAACTAACGGGAGTTAAGTAATCCACCCCCGTTAGTGATGCTGCTTTAACGGGGGTTAAGTAATCAACCCCCGTTAACGGGGGTTTAGTCCTTGGAATTGGCAGAGATATACGACCCCGACCTGTCTCCGCCGAGATGCAGTTGCCGGGGGCGTGGAGGGGGTTGGGAGAATGAATGCATGAATAAGTGAACAAATATGAGACTCGGAGTACCATACAGTGCGTCACTACAGTAAGGATATACTCACACTACTGTCTTCCCCTGAACACAACGCACCCTCATTTTGGCTGTACCCCACCGGAAAGATAGCGCATGTATACATTCATTATCAGAGTGCATTATGACCGGGGGAAGACCGTAGGTGGGACTTTATGGGATGTATTCTTAGGGGGATTTTTTTTTCCTTAACCCTCCGTTCAGGTATCCGCTTTGGAAATTTACAAGAGCAATGGCCCAAAGTGGACCCTCTTTGGTAGAGGCTCGGACTGAGTCTATAGTGTATTGATGGGTATAGTCCAAGTTGCATTGGGAAGTAAGCTTACTACCTTCTTCACCGCCGATCACAGTGCACCCTCATTTGGCCAGACGGGATAGGAAAAATAGCTTGAATGTGAAAAGAAAAAAGATTAAAAAAAAAAAGTGGTCTCCCACCCGGACGGTAAAAACGTGCGTTTTACTCGTGAAGAAGATGGTAGCAGAAGCCAGGGTTACCCACCCGAACGTTCGGGGGGGGTCTCCACCCTCCCCCGAACATTCGGGGGTCCGGCCCAACGTGAGGGGACCGAACTTACCAAAGTTCGGCCCTGTCAAAAATCATTTTGGTGCCTAAGAAAAAATTATTTATTTATTTATTCATGTTTGGGTGAGTTCTGTAACATATAGGTACATCCCTAAAATTTTTCAGGGCATTTGGCTGATCCAAAAACAAATGAAAAATCGCCAAAGATGGCTATGTCAAAAATGTGCCCCCCCATCACTATTTTTTTTCTTCTTTCCCTTTTCCCTTTTTCTGTTCTTTTTCATTTTTAATGTGTGTGTGTATCTGTGTGGTAGAGTGTGTGTGTGTGTGTGTGTGTGTGTGTGTGTGTGTGTGTGTGTGAGTGAGTGAGAGAGAGAGAGAGACAGGGACCAGGGACACAGTAAGAGAGGGGGGAGAAAGGGAGAGAGGGGAGACAGAGAGAGAGAGAAAGGGGGAAAGAGAGAGGGGGAGAAGAGAGAGAAAGCAAGAAAGAGACACAGAGCGAGAGAAAGGAGGAAAGAGAGAGAGGGGGAGAAGAGAGACAAAGAGAGAAAGAGAGAAAGAGAAAGAGACAGAGACACAGAGAGAGCTAACGAGAGAGAGAGAGAGAGAGAGAGAGAGAGAGAGAGAGAAGAAAGGAAGCCTCACACACACTAACGTGCAGAGTCCTTTTTTTCTATCCAATAATCCATCAATGATCAATGAAGCAGTCAATCAATCATGTAGCCGCTGATCCAAAGTACAAAAAAAAACCCCTTTGAGGCTCCATATTTGCCCGACCGGGCCCAAAAAAATTAAAAAATATTTAAATATACCCGAACTTTCGGCGACCCCTCTCGACGCGTTCGGCCATTTGTGAATATTCTGTGCATCAACGACAGGCCCAACTCGGACGAGATTTCATCCACGAAAACACCGAAAAGGAAGATGGGAAAATCATCCACGGAAATGTCGAAGACAAAGGGAGGGAAGGTAAGCAGAGGTAGAGGACGAAGGACACTAGTGAGGAGAGTAGACAATACGCATATGAAAAAAAGCCCGAACGTGACTGATTAAAAATATTAACAATGAGTCCTAGCGGTTTGACCCAACCGGATCCAAAAAAAAAAAAAAAACGTTTGGCCGAACGCGGATCCAAAAAAAAAAAGAAAAAAAAAAAAAACAAATTCCAAAAAATCTGAAAACAATATATGTTATGCAGAAGAATAAACTAAACAACATTTGCCTCAACGTTACATTCAAATTCTTTACCAAATTTGAAATAAAAATCAAATACTAAAAATAAATAATAATAATGAAAATTAAGAAAAAAGAACGAGAAATTCAATGAAATTATTGAGTGGGCGAGGACGTTTTTGACACCGCCATCTTTGGAGATTTTTCATTTTTGTTTGGCTGTTACAAATGCCATGAAAATTTATATATGAGTATCTTACATAATAGAGAATCTACAAATAAAATTTGAAAAAATAACAATTTTTTTCATGCCCCGAAATAAAGGAAAAACAAAACGTGAAAAGAGAGAAAAAACAAATTAGTGAGTGGGCAAGCAGGTTTTGACACCACCATCTTTGCCGATTTTTCATGTTTTTTTGGCTGAACAGAATGGCTTCAAAATTAAGAGGGAGATAGCCTACATCACAAAGAACTCACAAAAAAAAAATTCAGAAACAAACAATAATATTTAGGTGCCAAAATATTTTTTTGCGGGGTCCGAACCCCTTCGTACGGGGACCCGAACACCCAAACGTTTGGGGGTCAGCTTAGGGGCCTCCGTACGTTCAGCCTGGCAACCCTGAATATGTGACGATATATATATATATAAGTTTTCTTTCAATTTGGTAAAGAATTTCTATGCGACCACAAGGCAAAAGTTGCTCAGTTTATTTGGGGGGTTCGGGCTCGGCTAAACGCATCTCCAAGGGGGGCCAAACGTTCGACCGTTCGGGTTCGGCAGTTCGGTCGGACCCGAACGGGACCCGAACGCCGACTACCATGGCAGAAGCTGGAGAACGTTGATTACCTGTACAAAGGGTGCCTTGACGACCCGAACTTTCACCGACCCATCCTCATTGCGCTCCACTCTCTGCGCAAGCCCATCTTCCCACCTGAACCACAGATCACGTGATATCACGTCAAATCAAATCAAATCAAATCAAATCAAAAAAAAAAAAATCAAATCAAATCAAATCAAATCAAATCAAATCAAATCAAATCAAATCAAATCAAGTCATATTAAATCAAGTCAAATCAAATCAAGTCAAAAATTGAAAAATCAAATCACATTACCAAAGTTCAACTAAAACATCAAATCCACTCACATCACAGGTCACATCATAAATGAACGCGTTTGTTAATTAATAATTATACACAAAAATGGCCACGCAGTTGTGTCTTGTCTGAGCTTCGACACACACACCCCACACACACACAGACATGCTACTATGCACACCCTCACACACACACGCGACGAGACAAGCCTCCGGCTCAGATTCCTCCGTCAGCACTTCTTGCACGGGGGTAAGTTAAACTGTGTCCAAGTTCAAAGAACTCAAACTGCAAGTTTCCAAACAGAAGGGGAAGAGAGAGAGAGAGAGAGAGAGAGAGAGAGAGAGAGAGAGAGAGAGAGAGTCCAACGTGGATTGACATTTTTCTGCACATGCAATCCAATCTTTCCAAGACAATCCAATCCAATATAATTAGAATCAAGGGGTAACTACGGCGCAGTCACGTTTTCAGTTCTAAATCCACTTCAGCCACCCTTCGAATACAACACATCCCCACCCAACCCTAAAGCTGGGTTGGATACATTCAAGATTTTCCTCGCTTCGGAGTAAAATTCACGAAACCGTGACTGAAACGCATTTAAAACTGAAAACCTTGACTGTGCCCTAGTTTCCCTACAATCAAATTGCAATTCAAACCAATGGCAATCCAATCCAATTGCAATATGATTGTATTGCAATCCAATCAAATTCCAATCCAATCCAATCCGATCCGATCCGAGATTTTATCCATTTCTGGTATTATATTATAAGAGCAATCAAAGTTTATCAAACCGTGGGAGGAGCCTTAGCCATAACCCGGCGCTGTTTAGGCCACTTCCCCCGAACAGAACCTTTTTATTTTTCCCATGATCCTGCGCATGTGTGAGGATCCGAACCTCCATACCTTGTAGTACAAAATTTTGAGTCCGGCGTGTATACCGTTCCACCACCAAGGCCGTATTTGAATTAGAGTGTGCATAACATTAATTGAAGAATATGCATGCATATTATATATACATATATATATTAAAAAAAAAAACATTTGTGCCATTGGAAGTTCGAATTAGAAAACTGAAATTAAACACGTATCAAAGGGCTTTGCATTTTTCCAAAAGGGGCACATTTTCGTATGGTCTATTTTGCCCCAACAGGGCGGAGGTAAAACAGAAAACCAAAAAAAGAATTTCTGAACTCTCAATGTGTGGCATGCTGGACCCACTTTCCAGCAGGTGCTGCTCCCCACCAATAGATGGAGCTTCCCAGGGAATGCTAGGGTAGTCTGCTCTTATCAGCTCCCCTAGCATCAACCCAGGGTGTTTTTCTTTATTAAAAAAAAAAAAGAAAAAAAAGCCTGGTTACCTCTGCAACCTTAGCCTCCACGGTGAGCAGGTGCATGATCAACACCTAACCCTCTCTTGTACATTATACTCAATCTATTTCTGTCCCTCGCCAACGTTTTTCCTTTTTTTTTTCAAATGGTCGCATGTCCCTCTCCAACGTTAGTGCGTTAGCTTTGCCCTTCACCCCGAAGTGGGCAGTGCTATGTGTGGGGGGTGGGTGGCACTATGTTTGGGGCTGGGTGGTGCTATGTGGGGTGTGGACACTATGTTTGGGGCTGAGTGGGGGTCAGAAAACTATGTGTTGCTGGCAGCGTTAGTTTGTGTGGGGCTGGATGATACTATGTGTGGGGGGTGGGTGGTATTATGTGTAGTGGGCAGTAGTACTATGTGTGGGGGGAGGGTGGAACTAGGTGTGGTGGGCAGTAGTACTATGTGTGGGGGGAGGGTGGTACTATGTGTAGTGGGCAGTACTACTATGTGTGGGGGTGGGTGTACTATGGGTGGGGGGGGGTGGTACTATGTGTAGTGGGCAGTAGTTGAAAAGACCTATTTTTTCTTTAAAATCTCTTTAGTTCGTGGGAAAAAACTGAAAACACCCAATCTTCTCTAGAATGTCTACAGTTCGTGCAATAAAACCAGGCCATGTGTATCTGCTCCACCCCATTGTCCAGCTGCACACGAATGCGCCTGTCAGCCTGCACCATGCCGAAAAAGAGGGATTTTTTCTTTCTTCTTTAACCTTGGTCCAGTAGTTCGACGTATTGGGTCTATATCTCATAAATCATTTTTCCAAAATCTCTCTCTCTCTCTCTCTCTCTCTCTCTCTCTCTCTCTCTCTC